AAAATATAAAAGAAAAACTAATAAAAAAAAATAATAAGTTAATTTTTTAAAAAAAGTCTACTAAAATAGAAATAAGTTAAGCTATAAAAAAAAAAAAAAGAAAAATATATAAAGCATAACTAGATTTTATTATAAATTTTATAAATAGTAAAATAAGACTATTTATATATCACTTTTCTGACTAGTTTAGTACAGTTTTCAGATTATCTCTAAGCACTTAAAGAAGTAACTGAAGGATGTCAGACTAGAATTTTAAGTTAAAAATATATATAACTTATGTATAAGAATCTTAATAAAGATTTATAATAGCTATTATCTTATAAAGCAAAACTGATAACTATTTTTTTAGCTATTGTTACTATAACCCAAAATGCAATAATTAACATTTATACAGATTTTCAATTTATTATCACTAAATACTCCAACATCTATACTACAATTTCTGATCTTAACAAACTTTTCAAATTTAACACAGGCATATTTTACTAAATATCAATAAATTTTATAATTTACAAATCAATTTTCATAAAATACAAGTCTATACTAACAATAATCTGAATAATCTTGCTAACTTTTTTGCTAAATAACATAATCTTTCTTCTAACCTATACTTCAAGTATATTAATATTTATAATCTATACTATATACTATTTTAGGACTAACATTTCATAGAATATTTTATTAGAACTTTTATTAAAAATATTTGCAAAATCTATATTTTGGCAATGTGGTTATTTCAAAAATGCAATTAAGAATAGAACCAACTTATTTTAAAAATAAATTAAAGTTCCACTTGGCTATATACTAACCACAACCAAAAATTTATACATAATATAACTAACTTCAAATTCAATTATTTTAAATTCAATTATTTTAAATTCAATTATTTCAAATTCTTTAAAATTAAAATTTTATTAAATAAACTACACACATACTTTCTTTGTTATAAAACATATTCATATATATTTTATAACACAAACTGCATCTACTGCAATCTATTCAACATTTTAATACACACATTAGTGAACATGTTTTAACTTCATATTACTTATTAATATTATACAAGATATTATTTCTAAACATTTTAGTTAAAGTAACCTAAACCTTTCTAAACTCTAACAAGAAGAACTTATTTAAAAAATTCAAAACCACAAAAGTTTTTATTATATACTGTTTAATGCAAACTTATTCTATCTTAATATTATACTAAAGAACTTATATTCATATCTCTAATTCAAATAATTTAAAACTTTAATATTCTTTACAAATTAATATTACAAATTATCATTAAAATACTTTTCAAAATCAATAAGCTATGTTATAAATTATTCAAAAAATCATATTATATAAACTTTTTAAATTGGAAAAAGTAATAAGATCTTAAACCTCTTTTTTCTAAACACATAACCCAATTCAATTATAATAGATAAACTAAATATAACTATTAAATATATACATATTTATGTTTATATAAACTACTTGATTAAATATATTTAAACTCTAATATATACCTACTTATTAGTCATGCTATTAGAAAAATTAATATATAGACAATTTTTTAGATTAAATATAGTATCTCTTTTAATTATATTTTAATTATCCAAATCTAGATAAGTTTTAATTACTTTAGTAGGTTTAGGTTGCAGATGAACATGTCTGAACTTTACTTTTAAATGTGGTTTTTTTTTATTTGTACTTAAATTAGTTATATAGTTAGCAGTTTAATGATTAGTCCTAATTGCAAGTGTTGGCCTTGATTATAGCATTTATATAGAAATATTTTTGTATATAGCAACTCTATATAATTACTAACTTTAAAACTACTAATAAAAATATAAGCAAGATCTTATTTTAATACCAAAAAAAATAAAGATTTATGACAAGGTTATTAAAAAAAAAAGTTTTAAACCTTTAAATAAAATTATAAAAGAGATAAGAATTTTTTGAAATAGATTTATTTAAAGATTAAATATTATAAATCTATTATAAAAATTATAAAATAATTCTATAATAATTAACAAATCAAAATATTAGCATTGAAAATTTAAATTTATAACTAAGCATAATTTTTTTAAAATAATATATATTATAGAATTTTATTATAATAAATAAACTATTTTAATGTATATATTCTAAAAATTTGATTCATTTTTAAAAAAATTTATTAGTAACATATTTTTATTTGTTATGTAAATCTAAATTTACTGCGCAGATCATAAGACAAATGATCTACATGTACTCTTCAATGTGTTTACCAAACGACCTAATTAGGTCACCTAATTTTTTTCATAAAGCTACTCTGATTGGCTAAAATTGATACTCCTCATTTCGAACAATGAATTTTCAACAATTATTTCTTTAATTAACCGCATTAGTCACTAACTTAATTATATGCTTTGAGTGACATCCTAAGTCTATACATTTTTATTAATATTCCTATATTTAAATATCAGATTTTCATATAGAACTGATTTATGTAAATAATAAATATACAAATCAGTTGAATAGGTCAACATGATAATGGGAGTTCCCTAAGTCAATCTGTCTGAGAGTAAATTTAATTTAGTAAAAAAATAGGTTACCAAATCAATCGTACTTATTATTCCAATGAATAAAACACGAGATGATAGTTTAATACATCAGAGAGAAAATTTTAATTATCGGAAGATTATTTAACAGATAAAGGGTATTTATCATTCCAATTAACAAGAGTTAGACGTTGTTACGAAAAAATGATGTGACAAATTAATATTATATCTTTGAATGAGTTAATTTGAGTCTAATAGAATAACTATAAAAAGGGTTATTCATTACAAATAGATAAAAACAGCCTCTCTTTTCGCTCAATAAAATAAACAGACTTCTCCTTTCACTCAATTGAAATTTCTAACTTTTAAATAATCCTTTGCTTGCACCGAATTATTTTAATGCTTACGAACTGAGCGCTATAGAAAATTATAGTTTCTCCCAATTTCATAACAAATCCTTTTTTTTTATTGATTGATTATAAAAATTAGTAATGATTTTGAAGATTCATAATGCAAAAAGAAAAGTAGACAAAAAATTAAATGCTAACGAATTATTACTATATTACTTTATTTGTTACAGAAATACATATATATTCTTTAAAATTTTATTTATATATTGATTACCTCTTCGAATTCTCTTAGCAACACTTAAAAAGCTCGTAAAATCCGAAAAAGAAGAAACAGGAACTGCAATTAGTGGAGTCGACAATTTGCTTTTCTGTTAGTTTTAGTAAAGACTGAAAAAGAAGAAATAAAACTTAGGATTGTTTAAGATGGTATTTTTATATTTTTTTTGTTAATTTATCGTTTCATTTTTGTATTACAAACATAATAATCGTTAAATGTGATAGTGATAAAAGCGTTGGCTTAAGCATCAATGTTTTAATTTATTCTAATATATGAGCACCATCACAATTATAAACTAATCACATACGTGACATAATTCAATTAATTATACTACGATTTGTACTATTGGACTTCAACGATGGTCCTATTAAAGACTAATTAATAGCTGTGCACTATCACATTCATCAACTAATCTCATTGAACGCGCTCTTGAAAACACTCATTAAGATTGCATTAGTTTTTAGAAAAAGGAAATTTTAACAGTCATTTAATCGTTATAAATTGGGTAGCGTATCATGTACGTACGAACATACAGTACATGCACGTACCTGGTACGTACATACATACATGCACGTACTTACGTACATACAATATTCTGGAATTTCGTACAACTAAAACATTAAATGGAATTTTCTATCTTATTACATAAGTACATCAGTACATCAGCATCTTCTTTACATTCTTGGATGCGTTGAGAATTAATCCTAATACGTATAAGGTAAAAGTGGGTATTATAACACGGTACTAATTATAACGCACACGATATATTGTGAACCAGTGATCAAGATTGGATGATTTTACTGCCATTCAATTCGCCTCGTCGAGACGAATAGAATGGTGATAGAATCATCCGATTCTAGTTACTAGATAATGAGATAAATAACCAAAAGTTTAATCATAAGTTTTAATAAAAGCTAAAGATAATACACAAATAGCGGTTTTTTTTATTAAGAAAATTGACCTTAATTATTAAGACAATTTTGTTCGCCATAAAAAATTCTACATACCTTTAAATTTTCATAAAACTTGGATAATTTTTTATTGAATATTATTTGTAAAAAAATTATCAAAAAATTATTCGATTTTATGAAAATTTAAAAGTAAGTAGAACTTATAACGGTGAATAAAATTGTCTTAATAATGAAGAGCGATTTACTTAATAAACAATTTGCTGACAATACATTAAAGTTTTTTTTTTATTGCACTTTGCAAAAAGGTGTGACATCTGCAGATCGCGTGAAATTAGACGATTTTTCGATTCTAAGAAAATTATACGGATTTCCAAATACATATGAATACCACAGATCGAATATATGATTGAGAATTTTCGAAATTCTCCATTATCGTTTTCACGAAAATCGTGGGGTCACACCTTTTTGCAAACCACTATAATTACTATTAATTTTTTAGCTTTTAATTTAATTTGCAATATCGAGTGGTCAAAATCGAATGTTTTCGATTCATCTCAATGCGGTGAATCGAATGATGCCAAATCGTTCGATTCTGATCACTATATCACGTGATATTGACCGTAAAAGTTACCTGCGTCATAATACCCTTATATCGAAAGTTTGAATTTAAGTTAACATTTAGTTAAACAGCCATATATGCAACTTAGTATCGTTCATAAATGGATTGACAAAAGATAATCATATGATTAAATAAATGATAAATGATTTTCTTGTTTTGGAATTTAGTAAAATACTCAGAGAAAAAAAGTTTGCTATGATGTTATGTAATACTAGATGTTTGATTATGCGAAAATATTTAAATACTTATTCAATTATAATATAAGACAAATCAGTTCCAATTGAACTGTAAACAGAATTATTTCAAGTTTAGAAGATGAATGGTCTTTTCATCATATTCATTATATACATTCTGACAACTAATTTGGATGCATCTAATGCACCAGGTCACTTATACCGAAGGCAAAACAATAATACTGTTAATCCAGCATCGACCACAGCCTCAGGAATTTTATGTCCTACGACACCGGTTACTTTTACAACAACTGTAAATTCAAGTGCACCAACGACAGTATCGACTATCACTGACTCAACCACATCGTTTGTTACCATTACAGGTATTTATATGCGTGTATTTTTTTTTTTTTGCATCGGTTTTTTAAATTTTATAAGAACTAAAATTTATTATATTAGGTCAACCAATACCCAGTGCAATTACAACTACACTTCCTGCTATAGATTTTAATCAACCTTTAAGAACGCGTAATGAAACAATACCATATCAAGCTTATCATGTTGCATCAGATTATAAAAGTATCACTTCTAAACAAGGGTTTTCTAATTGTGGTGGTATTGTTGATATCGATGATTTCCGTATACTTTATTCTGCGTCAAAAAAAACGTTTATTCCTTTTTTTAGAGGTCGATCTCCAGTTGTCGTGAATAATGGTATGATATAATTATTTGAAATCAATGTTTATATCATCTTATAATTAATGCAGTATATAAAATACTGTATTAATTAATACTTTATATAAATTATATTGACTTTATTTCATTTTTATTACTAAGCAACGGCACGTGTTTACGTTCAAATATATGGAACTTCAACTGCATTAGAATTTAATGGTATTCCTTGTTTTGGAGCAAAGAACGCAAGTCCTTGTACTTCAGATAATGTAATTGATTCAGGCAGCACATTTGATGCATCTATAGCACAATATATTGGATCATTTTTAATTAAATGTAAGTGATTCTTTTTTTTATGACTGATAAGATATTTTTCTTTGCCCTAATAAGTATATATTATTATAGATGGTTATTTTTCTTTAATTGAATCACTTGGTGGTTACGCAATTTTGACTGTTCAAACTGGGGATAATGATCCGTACCTTGCTTGTGCAGTAACAAAGGTTGCTGATGATGATAATATGGCTGACTCACTTGTTTCTCCAAGTGCTGCAACAGCTTATACGGCTACTTCGGCCGCAGTGGGTTTAGTATGTTTGACCCTTGCTGCTGGTGGGGTCGTCACTGTTGCCACAGTAGGGACTGATTCACCTCCTGAAAATGGATACCAAAAAGAGGCACTTGAAAGTACGTATGTTGACCAGGCAGAAAAAGGAAACACATTAGTTGATATGAGCTCTGAAGGAGGAAAAGGATTTGAAATAACTCCAGAAGGAGGAGGAGATGTTGGTGGTGGTAGTAGTGGTATACCACCAGCTCAAGGAGGAGGAGAAACAGGAGCCGTACCAGGCGTAGGTGATCATCAGGCAACAAGTGCTCCATCGCACGTGCAATACCCATCGTTTTATGACTTTATATTTTATACCCAATCGATCATTACTACTGGATGGCTCTCGTTAAATTTAACATCTGAATATAGGAAATTCACATCAACGTTCTCATGGGCATGTGCGCAAGGATTCATAAATCTTAATGTACTCGCTTCTGCTGCAAATAATTTACGTTATAGCATTTGTGGTATTATTGTTAATAAGAACATGAACGCAATATTAGTTCCAGGAACATGTGTGGACAGTGAAAATGGATACAAATTACCACCGGTAGGGTCAAATTCTAGTCTTACGTTTGGTACTAATTCTTCTCCAAGCACGCCACAAGCTACCAAACATTTATATGGATTTGATTCATACGCTCATATAATTGGTGTTCCTGTGGAAGATCTTCCTTTTGCATCAATGATTGGATTCTTAGTTGTTATGGGTATTGCAATCACGTTGGTTCTTTTGGGTGCTATTGTGGCTAGCATAGTGATAAAATGTCGACAAAATGCACCTGTATTTTGGATGACGATGAGAAATAATGTGCATTTATTCATATTTGGTATGTTGAAAAAAATTTTATTTGAAAAATATTAAGCGTAAAGTATAAAGATGTTAAACACCTAATATTTATGTCACTTATTTTTTTATTTCTTTCAATTGTATATACTAGGTGGCGTCTTACGTGTGGTAAATAAACATTTATTATAAATATTGTCAACTTTATGTTTATGAACTAACTTATTAATTTTCAATTTCATAAATCAATTATTAAATAAAGGCAATTAACATGGCTTTTCCGCTTATAGCACTTACAATATATCAGTTAACTTTCGTTTATGATTGTTGGATGCTCCTTCTCCTTGCCTCGATTATTTTAGTCTTTATTATTTTCATGCACTTATTCAGTACTATACAAATACATAAACAAATAAAATCAGGCAATTTGGATCAGTTAAAGAACGATAATAAATTTAGATTCGTTTACTCCTCATTATACAACCAATTTAAGCCTAACGAGTATAGGTTTCACAGGTATACAATCATACATACAATCTCGCGTGCATGCGTAATTGGTGCTTTACAAATTAGTGGAGAAGTACAACTTGGATGCCTTTTGTTAATTGAATTTTTCTACTTTATTCTACTCACTAATTATAACCCTTATGCAAATAAAATATTTGGAAACTCTTTACATATAGGACTTTCAATTTCTAGAATGCTTGTTATTCTCCTTTTAATTCCATTTGTACAAAATCTTAGTACTTTTATTCAATCAAATACACTAAAAATCTTTTCATTTACATTAATTATTTTTCAAGCAGTTATTTTAGGTTTACTAGCAATAATGATCATTTCAAAACTAGTTTTAATGTTGTTTGATACGTGTAAAAGGAAAAGGTGGTGTACAAAAACTAAAGCAATTGCTACTGAATAATAAAATTTTTATTGTTATTATTTAAATTTTATATGGAATATGGATTTTATTTATTTTTAACTGTATAATATATAAAGTATTTGATTTATAATTTTATTGTAATAACTGATAATACATAAAAAAAAATTATTTTATATTAAAAAAAAACAGATCCATAAAGAATTCCGATCTTTGTTTATCGAATCTTTCAAAGATTTCAATTGACAGTTGTCGTTATACTGTATGACGAATATCACGTTCGTGAACGCATGACTTGGTCGATGTTACGCAAAGTTTCTATATGTCAATAATGTTTAATGTTAAAGTGTTTATGGATTCAAGCGTGCCGATAATTTAATTTTTGTTATGCCACTAAGGTTTCTTATGTTAATTTTTGAGTTACAAACGATTTTTGGATTTGTTTTGAATCATCCTGATCGTGTTACATTTTGCTTGATCTTGAAATATGTTTTGTTTGCGTTACAAAAATATTATGTGTCAGTAAATAGAATTGGCCTATTTATTACAGTCCGGGAATATACAGTGTTGGAGTTATAGCCGTTGCGCAGCGATCGACGAAACGTGACCAAAAACGTGACTAGAAGTGAGATCTGGATCGTGACCCAAAAACCAGCGATCGTGTAACCCGATTTGGGTGGTACTCATTTCGCCGACAATCACTTCAACGACAGTCTATTTAACACAGTCAATTCGCCGACAAGTTTATTTCACCGACAGTTATTTCACCAACAGTCATTTCACCGACAAAGTAATTCTGGTCATTTACGTTAGGGTCAGTTAGAATTAGAGTTAATGTTAGTGCAACTTTAAAAAAAAACTAGTCAGTGAAATGGGCTGTCGGTGAAATAAACTTGTCGGCCAATTGACTGTCAGTTAAATAGACTGTCGTTGAAGTGATTGTCGGTGAAATAATACGTACCCCTTCAATTTACTCATCTGTTAGAAGTTGATTTAAATTATATACATAATTATGTTATTAATTTTGCTGAATCAAGTTTTCAAAGAATAAAAGAAGAAATTTGTAAGAAAATAATAAATTTATTTTATAATAGGCACTTACTTTCCTCTGCACTACATGTATATAAAGACTTTTTACATCTTAGTATCTTAATAAAAACTGTTAGAAATTCTTACAGATTATACAAATAATTTTGACTATAATTATGTTTATAATTTTTTTCAATAATAATTAAATATTTAGATATAGTTGTTAAAAATTAGAATAGTTAAGATATAAAAAAACTATATTACAAAAGTATGAAACATCTTTTATTCTTTGTATTGTAATAGGTCTTATATGTCACATATATGAGAAGGTTTTGCAAGCAAGTAAGTTATATTATATATATGCATTAGCATTTTTTAACTTTCTTAATACTTCAATAACACTTTTATATATTAGTCGTATAGCTGACACACTTCTACTTAACTTTTCTTATATTAGATAAATTTAAAATTATATTAGAAAAGGCAATATATAGTTATAATAAGTTTTTTTTTATTATTATACTATATTATTTAGTTGAATTTATTAAAAACAATTCTTCTGACAAATGATTTTATAGATATGAACTACAGATCAGATCATTGATTTTTCTAACTGATAATTCAAGTTCAAAATATAATGTTTTAGAGTTTTGTTGATCAGAAAATAAATTTATTAATATTATATATATCTATATTGTATAATATAAAAATTATTAATTTAAATTAATTTTATATAAAAATTTATCTATTAATATGTTCTATTTCTTACAAGCATTTTGGAAATAATTCTATAATTTGAAATATAAAATTAATAAAGAAGATTAGATACTTATTATAAAAAAAATTAAAAAAATTCTATATATATTATTAGATTCAGAAATATGTATATAAATTATAATTGACTCAAGTAAGAATTTTATAAATATCTGAAGCTGTAATGCTATTTTAAACTTTTGTGAAAACAATAATAGTCTTGGACTCTATCTTTTCATTAAGACTTACCTATATGGGTAATAATACAAATTATATTGAATGAAATTTTACATAATAAAAAATATTGTTTTTACTAAAACACAAGTTTATAATCTTATACAGATATTTTAGTTTATAATTACAAATATAAAAAGTTTTTATAAAAAAAGATTGATTAGAATTATATACAAGCATTTAGAAATTTTGTATATTACAAGATAGTTTTTGTATTTTGATCAAAAAACAGTAAATGCAAATAATATTTAATAAAGTAATATAAAAAATAAATTTTTTGTACTTAATAAAAAGTAATTAAAGAGGATGGTGATCCTAGTGTAGTGATTGGGTTGTCATCCTTCAAGTGGCAGATCTAAGGTTTAAATCCCATCTACAATAAAATTTAAAAATTAATCTGTGTTATAAAACTGTCTCCTGTCATCATTGGTCTCATATGGCTGTAATTTAGGTATACCAAGTCAGGTCCTACTCATCATTGGAAGCTCAAGGTATCTATGAGAAGTGTAACATTACACATATATAAAGTAATGTTAATAACTGGTATTGTATAAGACTTTAGTGCAAATCCATAATAAGATCATCAAGCACAGAAGACTAAGAAACTGAGAAGACAGAATTACACTTGAAAATTTCTAAGTAAAAAAGTAACACAAATTTTTAATGGTACTGTCAAACTGATAAAAGCTTATGAAACACCTTCATAGAAACAGGCAGATGAACTAGATGATAAAATGTGTAGAGAAGCATATGACCAATTAGACTGCTAAAATCATTAAAGAAAAAGGATACTAAGATATACCATACCAGACCATCTAGATTGAAAATCTAGAGAGTCTGTCAGCTCTGAGTTGCAGTTAGTAGAAGATGATAGAGAAGATGTTGGAAAGATAATTATCAGAGTTTGGGTAAATTTTACAAGACTAAAAATAATATAACATAATGATTTAAGGTTAGCCCTGATTGCAAATATTAGGTAACTATAGCATGTTATATAAAACTAGATTAGCTGTATATAGAATATGAAAGGCTTTAGTAACAATGCTTCTGAGGATACATTGCATGAAATAAAGTATGGAGTTTTAAGAATACAAGTAAGCATCTAGACCTTCTCAACTGACTTATGTAGCAAAGATGATCTAGTAATACAGTAAGAATTGCAGTACAGAAAGTTTAAATAGGCAACACTCCTAACTGGGTTGCAGGTATGACAGCTAGTGTAGAACTATTGATGGACTACTTAATTAGATACCAAAAGTGTACATATGACTAATTGTACTCTTTAATGTACAGAGACTCCTTTGAGGCCTAGGCCATGAGTCTCTATATCCTAACTACTGAATAAAAAGCCCTAGCTCCAAAAGAAGCTAGTTTAATACAAAAAAAATAATAATAATAATTAGTCTTTTTTATATTATTAATTGTAAGATTGCTCTTGTTTTTATTTTGTTAAAATGTCTGATACTACTTACAAATATTAAGAAGTAATTGCAAAAAAATTTATATTTTAATGACTAATTTTATTCTATCTTTAACTCTAGATGACTATATTAATTATATATACTTATATAATACTTAGTAAATATCTATCTATTTAAATTAAGTTTGCTAAATTAGAATTATTATATAATATTAAATTTATTTTTAGATTATGTTGCTAAGAACAGATCTTTTTATATATCATTATACTCACAACAAAATCAAGAAATTTTGTATATAGAAATAAAAATTACAAATAATACTTTAGTTACCAAATGAAAAAAGAATAATTTTTTTAATTTATAATAAATTTTTTTTTAATTTATAGTAAATTTATTTTAATTTATATAATTTTATTTTATCATTATTTTTTTTTCTAATTGAAAATTCATATAAAATCAGTTGAAAAGAATAAAGAAAATGAGAAATTTAATATTTCTAAGTTCACTTTGTTTTTAAAAATCATAAAATTAGATTATCAAAATATTACAAGTCATATTAGATAAATTTAAAGTTCATTATATCACAACAAGATTAAAATTTATCTTTTAACTTTCCTTCTTTCTTTATAACATTAACTGTGATTTAGATTTAATAACTAATATTAAAAGTGATTCACATATATGAGTTCAAGTAAAGTCTATCAAGTGATGCAAACTGAAAAGAATTGGCTTCAAAAGAAAAGTATCTATTTCTAAAAATATGC